TTACTTCGACCACATAAATATTTCAGTTATTCAGGAGAGAAAAGTAATACATATATGTTCAGATTCCACTCAACCACTATACGATGGTGACACACGCCAAGTAATTCAAAATGGATAGACCGCTGAAGCCTCTGGAATAACTTATGGAACTGAAACACGACTGTCTACTATCTTCTATGATATTCGGGAGTGTGGTGGACTGCATTATGTGGCACATCCTGAGGAATCAGAAGACACGATATTGGACTTATAAGAAGAGTCTAGACCATCTGGAGTTCACGAATGATTTATGTCTAGCATCATACAAACTCTCAGATCTGCAGATGAAAACCAGCAAGTGAGCAGGAAAGGCAACAAAGACAGAACCTAAAGTGAAAATAGAAGAAAAAAGGTGAAGGAGATACCCAGTCAACAACAACGCGCATCGATTACCATTAATGGGATAAATCATTTCCGTCAGCTACTTAACGGTTATCGTTTCAATAACATACAAAATGAATGATGTTGTCAAAGCTCATCACTAAGCAAGAAGTGAGACAGAATTTCATTACTCTGAAATCAGTTTGGAAACTCACTTCACTCAGCACAAGGAAAAACAAACCTTAATTTTCAACGCGTTTTATGCCAGTTCATCTATACGTTTCAGAGTCTTAGAGCTTGTGTCACGGAAAGAGTTTCCAGAATGCTGTTTCAGAGTTTTATTAACCTTTTTTCTTGGCACTGATGGCTAAATTTCTTATCAGAGGCGACTAAGCAACGAGTGACTGTGACAACAACCCAGACTGTTGAGTAATATTGCACGCTGTGCTCTCGAGTGAAACTTTAGTGGAAAGCTGCGCATTAGGTATCCGTCGGTGACATGGAGGAGGATAGGAAATGAAGACTTATTGACAGTTGTGGAGTCAGATAAAAATCAAATCAGTAAATTGGGTATATTGCATCTGTGCTACTAAAGCAGCATTTTTTTTACCCCGGACTTAAGGAATAAGCTGTAATAATACTGCATCTTTGTAGTATTTAACAAATTTGAGAGGGAGCTGAAATATGAGGATAAACTGAATTTGGACCATTTGATTTTGGAAATCATCAAAATAATTTCATGTTGTGCTGGGAAATATAATGTGCACTAATTAATCTACATTGCTGAAAGCTTTGATCATACCTGATTTTTTAGCAGATCTGTAGAATATGTATATCACATGTTTTCAAATTATCATCATTCAATCTATGTGTCAATCAGGTGTCCAAAATAACGCATTGAATCAACAGATGTAATTAAGATTGATAAAATAATTGTAAACTGTTAACTGACTGTTTACCGTAATAGAAGTTAATATTTTGCTGAAAAGCAGTTTTTTTAAATAAATTGGTACATATATAATTCATTTTATTTTTCTAAAGTTGACTTTTTTCCATTTTTATGATAGAGAAAATGATCAGGCACCAATCACAACACATAAAGAAGCCAAAATAAAAGCAGCTAGTAGGCTAACAAAATATAAAAGTTAGCTACCTCTTCCTCTCTTGAATTTAATTTGTCGTAATATTATCTGGAGGATTTCATCGTGAGCTGACATCAGTAAGAGAATTATTGGAAAACCTTAGAGTACCGGACAGCAGTTTCTTCTCAATTTGGGACTCTTTAGTAGTAGGCACTCACATAGGGGGTTCGAAGCCAAGACCTTCTGGTTACATGACATAGCGTGACCACTTTGCAATCTATTCTTCGATGAGTAACTGCATGAATCGGCAGAAGTTAGAATTCATGGAATGGCAATTGGATCGGGACCTATTGGCTTAATAGTCTACGAGCTCGCTTTGTAACTAGAAGTTCCTGGGATTAAACCTTCTATGCGGGTGCGTGCTGACGAAGAGTCTCGAAAATAAGAAGAAACAGCTGTCCAGTACTCTTTTCACATTTTCCAATAGTTCTCTAACTGATGTCATCTCATGATGACTTCCTCTGACCAATCACACAAAATCGCTACAAAACCAATACTTAAAAATATCGTCATATTATTCAAAGCAAGTGGTTTAGGTTCTGGTAATTGTCATATACTTCTCGGTCAAAGTGAAGTTATTCTTATGACCACTTACAATTGTATTGCTATTATCAGATCTTAGTCCCTAAAAGTGTAATCACTTCCGCATTATAATACTGAGTTATGTTTGCTTCAATTTTGCTGTAAGCGTTCTCTTATCAACTCAATTATTTGCAACTAATATCCACAACGGTTTCTAATCTTACAATAATGGATTTCAATATGACTTGTGTAAATTTATTTCATATAAATAAATTATTTGATTGAGAAGAATTATTTTTAAGCAGGTGAAACGTTTGCAGATTACACGTATATAAATAAGGCAACATACTCTGAGCTGAGACATCCAAAAGTCCGTCGACAAAAGTATCTATTGGTTAAACTTAAGAATATAATAACCCATTAATTACTATTGTAATGTTGACATTACCTTCTTAATTTAAGCAGGACAGTGGTTTTTCCTGTAACTTGTACATAAATGTGCGACTGACTGATAAAAATAGACTAACGAAACACTGCTGAATTTATTAACGTAAGCAAAAGTTCGAATGTACTGAGTGGACTGGCGATTTAGAAAGACGAGACCTAGTTTTCGAATATATTCGCTCATAAAACTACTGATAATAATATGCAGATACAGAGAAGGTCAAAGGTAAGCTGAGGTTTTGTGCTAACGTACGCTGCGTATGTGAGATTCTAACCCACTGGCATTCAGAAATGAAAATGCCCCTAAAACCGTCACATATTAATATTTTATATCTAGAAATGACGATACTAAATGATTGGTACCTGAAATTTTAAGGTTGTTTGCTGAGAACATCCTTTGTTAACGAGTTAAACCTGACTAAAGCTCCTTGTAATATCCTTGATGATATGGACCATATTGTGGAACACGAAAATTAAAACAGATGAAGTTCCTAGACCTATTCATGACATAAAGGGGAAATAGTTTGGGTAAAAAAAAATAGACAGACGCAAATCTATGCTGTGTATTCAATGTCTAAGCCTTTGTAATCTTTGTTTGAGCATTCTGCATTAAACAAAGGGGAAGAGAGACTGTATATAACTCAGAAATATCTGAAAATGTCGTAAAGATATTAGAAGTCTGCAAGAATATGGTAGCTTGGAAGCAGATTGAATGATTCTTGGAAGTAAGTTTTAAGTTGTCGATTAGATAACATAGAGAGAAAGTGATCGGGATTGTTATGTTTTTTTGTATATTCAACCGGAATATTATCCTCTTTGTTCTGAAACTCCCAAATGAATGTGAATAAGCTTTTTAACCTCACCATCTGAGGATGTGCTCAATAGTTTACATATACAGATGGAAGCTATTGAGGCAAAAGCCTAGGAAAACTACTATGCATAAGATTTGATTTCTTATAGCGAACACAGAAATTCTTATATATATATATATATATATATATATAAACGTTGATTATTCGGTAGGGGGTGGAACATAATTGGAAACGGATTTTCAAAAGGTTTTATTTTCCCGAAAGGCACAGATTACTTACACAACAAAACGCTTTAATTCCAGGAACCTAAAGACCAAAAACGTATTCCGAAGATGATAACAAATATTATATAGTAATCATCGGTCCTATATCTAAAATTCTTTATTAAACACATTCCTCTTATCAATTAGCATACATTAAAAGTATTGAAAAAAAAATCATCATGCGTCTTTGTCCTAATTCGTACAATAACTTTGCCGTTGAGATGTAATCTATAGCTTAAAATAACCTTAGGCTAAATATTTGTGAAGGTCAGTTTTGTTGTGTGTATTTATAGACTATCTATAAAGTGAATCTCTAGTCCTATTTCCCAAAATGCTGAATTCTTTTGATGAGGCGGAAAGTAGGTTAATTCTAGTCTGATATATAAATAAACTCATTCAAAAAAGAGACGTAGAGTTTAAGATTGCATATATTGTTGTTTTTAGATAACTACATCTGCTTCGCTTAATAGATTTTCCGCAGTCAAGTTTATGAAGATACGTATTATCTATGTAGATATAACCTATTAATTTGTATGAAAAGAAAGAAATTTCCATAGGATACATGAAGTGGAAAATATTATGCTATATCCATTACTGATACCTGACATTGAAACTCTTTGAGAAAGGTTTAGATCAGCAAACTGTTGACGGGGTTGTGAATAATGACTGCTAGTGGAATGGAGACCATGTTAACGGTAAGACGCTAGTCAGAGTGCACCGTGCTGACAATTGAGGGGTCGATATTTTGAATTCTACTCAGGCCTGTCTTCATTTCACTGTCCCTAATCATCTCCTTCACTTATAATAAGTTAAAAAGGGTTGAGAATTCAGACTTCCTCATTATGGCCTAAGCGTTCGATTAGTATACTTATTAAATAGGGATAAACTCTTATATTTTATCATAATAGCTGAGCATTATTTATCCCCAGTTTGATTATATTTGGAAGCAGCTGTTAAGTAAGCTTAAGTCCCGTCGTTCATTTATTACATTTAAACTATTCTTATACCTTTCCAGTGTGGTTCACAAAAAAAGATATACAAGCAATGGAAGACAACTGATATATCTGCTGAGTTAACACGTGTGTAAACAAACCAAGTAACTGTGCTATAATGTATCTTCTACGAAGCTAAACGGTTCACACAGCTGAGAAATCCCCTAACTTTAACCCCTACCAACTGAACTTTCGGTTAATCCTATCACGAACAACTAAGTACGCATTAGAACACTCCGCAAAAAGTATGATAAACCTGACTGAAATAACTCTGCCAGTTGAAGTGACAACCTTCATATTTGCGATGGAATTGTCCTTCATTTAAATTCAGGCTGACTGATTAAAAAGCGACTATTCCAATGCAAGTACAACATCTTCTAAGATTGTGAATAAGATAGCTTCGGTGATATATTATCTGTCGAATATATATATATATATAACTAAGAAATATTTACAGGCAATTAGAGTTTGAGTCTAAGGTCTTTTTTCAAATAATTTAAAGAGATAATGCGCTGCTGTGAATACTGTAGGTTTTGATAAAAAAAATTGAAGCTTACCTTGCTCAAGATTGTTGTTAAATAGACAAGATGTTACAAAGAGAACATTCCACAGAGTGGACGGTTCCCGTAAGTCAGTAGTCATATATCATCATTTGTGTTATTCAATAGCAAACAATTTCTCATCAGAAAGTAAAACATTTATTTACATATTTACATCATTATACATCCGGAAAATCGACTTCTAAACCCCAAAATATAGAAAACCTCGAATCATATTCTGATGTATATATGTGTCCAAGTTTAGATGCATATGTCTGCGCAGTCAAGAGTTCAAATGTAAATTTAGCAAAATATAAATGAACACGGTAAGAAGATCTCCAATATTCTTATCAGGATAGTCATGATGGATTCTCACTGCACCTATTGGAAATTCAAAAACTTCACTTTTCTTACAACTTGACGTTAATCACTTCGTCCAGAATGAATGCGAAGGCTTTACAATCAAAACATCCATCTAAGAAAACGAAGTAATACTGGAATCATTAACGTGAGCTCCAGTTGTTCTCCATTAAATTAGTTAAACATTACACTTGGCTGGTTGATACTGATATAAGGCAGTGATTACTGCTGTTATTACTAGTGTTATGAACTATTGTTGGCGCTTGTATATTACTTGTATTTGTACTTATTCGTTGATGATCAGGTCTAATAGCTGAAGAACTACTAGTAAACGATTTATGAAAATAACAAAGAATAATACTTATGAATAATAATAATAATCCAAAACAAAATATACAAAGGGAAATCCATTTGGCGTATGTAAAGAATTCTCTAACATCCTTTGACATCTGAACAATATTCACTTGATATCTTTCTTGATTTAAATTGTAGCCTGTGTGTAAATAAAATATCACAGAAGCTGTTGATATACTAATTAAACCGAATACTGAAGTGAATAGTACACAGTAGTGATAAATTCTAACACGAATTGATAAATGTCGTTTCAATGGGTTTGTTTCATTCATCGATGGATTACGATTAACTGAGCTTAATTCATACATCATACATGACGATGGTGCTAACTGATTGCCTAATGGCATCATATTGTCATTTGTTCCAGGTAAAAGATATTTTGTAGTATTTGCCATTATTAATTCTCTTCTGTTTATCTAAAATGTTTGCATAATTTTGTAGGGCATTCTGAAATTTTCACATTACTGACTATAAGCTCCTCTCTTCATCATCTTTAATTGTCCACTTTCATTAAAAGCTTTAAGAAAGGATAAATATGCATTCATTTTCATGCTTATAAGTAAATAAATAAATAAATAATTGATTCACTGCTTTGAAGTGATTGGTAATAAACAGATGTACTTGATAGGCATAGTTTGTTTTCTGATTGGTAGATTAATTTTTATTCCTTAAATTAAGTGGAATAGGTAATATGTCACAAAATATAATCTTATTGTCCCTTTACCTTATAAAGTGTAACATCGTTACAGAAAAAACAACACAACAACAGTTTACTGAATTCTTTAAGCTGAGATTCATGTTTATTTGACTTTTATTTGCGAAGCATTCTACGAACCCTAAGGAATACGATTATTGAACGCGTCCTAAGTAATTATTCAACAAAAGTCTGATTCATTAATGAGTCATAACACTAAGATTAACATCAATCCACGGGGGGAAGAACAACACAGTTATTGTCTGGTGAAATAAGATGACGACAATAGAAACTGGAAGCCAGTCGCCAACAGACGTAAAAATTGCATTCACCTCTACACGACGAATGACAGCCAGTTGTATTGCTTTACATCGTGAAATGAAGTTACGCAGAGGTGCAAAAAAGTTATTTCACCGAGAATTCTTTGTTATAAGCTTGTGTTTTGTAGAGCCATTTGCTTTAATAAGTTGGTTTGCAAAGTCTGAGGAACCAGAGTTTAAATGGCCCATCAAGTCTGTGTTAGTTAACCAATACTTGAAACGAAAACAGATGACGTAAAGAAAATAATTAATTACCTTCTGTTTTGAGCGTAATTTACCACTCATAACGATTGCTACAATTAATATTGTATGATAATGGTTCATAAACTGTACTCTGAAACCCAGTCAGTTGGTAATACTGCATCCTTATGCTTTGAAGAAGGTAAGTGTTTCCTTTTAAGAAATTAGGGTATCACAGTGACGAAATTTTATGATCAATTCGTAAGACAAATTCATTCACTAATGAGACGTTCACCTCAGATTGCAGTTATATACTATTCAATCCATCACATGTAGATTCGAGTAAACATTTGAGTAAAATTCAACAATTCTAGCACTTTAGTGGCCGTTTCATCACATGTAAAAAACCAGTGATAAATCCATTAGCAACCAAGGAGTGTTGGAAAGATATTAGTGAGTAATAAGACTTCGTTGCCGATGGGTTTTAGTGAATCAGCTGTGAAACACGTGCTCATCAATAACAAAGTCTGAAGGTGGTGTTATATTACGATTGACAGGAGTAAGAATTCACTAGCCATATTATTCTAAACCCATGTAAGTGAATGCTGAATGTACTTGTCGCGTAAACTTAAGATAATGAGTTCGATTCCTAATGGTTTTGTTGATGAACACTGATGAAGTGCCCAGAAACATGACGAAATAACTTTCTGATGTTCTTAGATTTTCAACGATTATCACATTAGTTACAGTTCTTGACAAGAACAGCAATGAAATTAATTCCCCTACAAAATATAAGACCTGAACTATAACCGATACTATTTTGTAAATAATAACGGTTCAAAGTGAATCTTCCAGCAGATTATTAGTCACTTTATGTGAAGCTTATCCACTAACCATTTCTTACAGTCAAAGTGGTACTAAATATTCATGTATGTAGGTCTAATTACTCCACAGAAATACTGATGTAGGTTAATTTTAAATACTAGCTAAATAATATCAACATATTAAAAGGTTGTCACATGTTTATATTTTCTTTTGAAAGGTTAGTAACAAAGTACACTGAACTAAGGTCACTGTCCTTACTATATATTACCTTTCGGCTGTTATATGATCAACTTTTCTGTCTGTCATTAAAAAAAGAATTGGCATTTAAACATCTGTAGCGCATTTTTAAACTAAGAATGTTTATTTAGTAAATGAGGTTCTTATGAATAATGGTTAAAAATATCTCACTTTTTAAATGTCCAAACCGAACAATTTCAAAAAATTGTGTATTGGTTGTATAGTCAATTGGGATTCACTAAAATATATTATTCACCTTTGGCCTATTTTACCTAAGAAAAATGTGTCGGGGATATAACACAGTTTTTTCAAATGGTATAGGCATATACATGTTATTCTGCCAGAAATTATAAATTAAGTGGAACTACTTCGCTAATCAATAAACTGGTAGGTATATTAAAGTTTAAGTTTACATTTTGGCCAACAGTTGACACCTTGTTCATTGATTCACAGCTAGAAGTATACTGTTGTTGATAAATGTCACGGATAGTGTTTAAAAAATAAACATGTGGTTCATGAAAGATATTATCTCAGTTTTCGTGTAGGATTAGCAGCAAACTAATAGAGACTATTTTCAGTGCTTCAAATGCGAATCGTGCATCGATGGTTCAGTGGTAACGTCATCTAAGGTTCGATCCTCAGCTAACCTACTTCGTAATCTTGCTTAGCTGGAAGTAGGTTCAACAAAGACAGAAGATTTGGAGTGAGGTTAGCTACCCCACTCTGTGAAAAATAAACACCCCCGCTACTAAAATTATAAAGATCAAGCTTGAAGCCCTATGTTCCACTGGGGACGGAAAGGGATGAAATAACAAGTAAATAAAAATATAGACCTGCAGTATAAACCATTAACAGTCTTATGTATAAAGTAATGAGGAGCCATTTTAGTATTTATGGAAAATCTCGTCTATAACATATAAAGTCTTTTATGAGAATTGATTGCAAATACGATGCGAATAAAGTTATTGTTGTAAATGTATTTTATTGTCATTGGACAGAACTATGCTCTAGAACTGTCTGTTAGAGTGAGGTGTAACTGAGGAATTTGTTAACATCTGGAAAGCCTTACACAGAAACACCTCGGGTAGAGTGAGGGCATACAACCAACTATCATCACTCTTCCCAACCAACAGTGGGGTTAGACTGGGTTGCCCAATCTCTCCATTTCTCTTTAACTTTGCCATCGACGACATTCTGGAGTAAGCTCTGAAGAATGTGCGTGAAGGTGGTGTAGATCTGCTACCTGGAGATAGACTTTTCGACTTCGAGTATGCAGACGATATCGTCTTACTGTGTGATAGCATGCAAGCTGCCCAAATCGCACTTAATCAGTTGGCGATCAGTGTCTGTAAGTATGGTATGTGCTTTGCGCCGTCTAAGTGCAATGTACTGTTACAAGATTGGCAGGAGTCTGTACCTGCACTCATTCTCTCGGGTGAACCGCTTGAAGTTGTTTATAAGTTTGTGTACCTGGGTAGTTGTGCGAGCGCTGGCGGAGGAGTGACGGATGAGATTTCCAACCGTATAATGAATGCTAGGGTGGCATACACCAACTTGAGCCATCTATAGTGCCGTTGCGATGTTATTCTTGCTGTGAAAGGTCGGGTATACAATGCTTCGATGCGGGCTGTCTTGCTCTACACCTGTGAAACCTGGCCTCTCCGAGCTGAAGATGAGTGGCGACTCTGCGTGTTCGATCACCGCTGTCTCCGCAGGATTGCTTGCGTTCGATGGCATCATCGCGTGAGTAGATCTAAGGTTCGGCGGCATGTGTTTGAACACAGTGGAGATCACCATTCATTGAGTGTCGTCATCTGGAAACACCGGCTCCGGTGGCTTGAACACGTGCTGCGAATATCATCTCAGCGGCTTCCGTACGCGTCTCTGTTTGCTAGCCATGAGACGGGATGGAAAAGGCGGAGACGTGGTCAGTCCATGACGTGGTGTCGTGGGATGAAGGATTTTCGTGCTAGCATCGGTTGGTGTGTCACGACTCTCTGGTTGGGGTCCGAGAGATAGCTCAAATCGATGGCTCGAAACGTTATCGAATATGGCCAAGAACCGTAGTCAATGGCGAACGTGTTGCAATTTCCTTCTTTCTTCCCTTCCCGATGATAGTTAACGAATACTGTTTGAACTTGTTAAGCATGACTGTCTTCCTTCCAGATGAAGTTCTTCATCCGTTTTCTACTTATATATTTTTTCTTTTCCTTCTTTTTTTTCTTTTGATCTATGCTGTTTTTTTATTACTGTGTGGCACATACTTCTTGGTGCCATATTGTACCAAGTTTTTATGCGTTTAAATAAATAATAAATAAATATCTTATTATTGTATTGTATTATTGTACAGACAAAAACAGCCTACCAGTGTATATAAGTTTTCGCATAACAGTCATTCAAAAAGGTTTATACACTAGCGATGTATGCAATTGATGTACTTCAATCCAAACTTTGATAAACTAACTGTTGCATCTTTGACGTTTTCAAATGAACAGAATAACAAATAACCTAATCACCATTTCATTGTGTATTAGACACGTCTATGGTCATTCAACGACAGTAAGCGATATATATATATATGACGTTGAAATGCGTATTTACTTTCTGTAGGCGGGCGATAAATTCAGACAGCAATATGAAGATACCATTTTTAGAAATTTGTAGAATGTGACTAATCTTGTCTGAAATCTATATAAATAAGTGAGTTAGAACTAAATTCATGATGATAAGTCACATAGAATAACCGTTTTCAATATCTCTATTATCAAAGATATGAATGTTCTTGTTTTAATTACCCATTAGATTTATTTCACTGCAAATATTGATTTCAAAGTAAACGGAAATGAGTAAAAGCGCCAATTATGCTAAAATACACTTAATCCATAGTTATACTTTACTGCTATCCACAAGCCAACTCATAAAAAGTATTTTCTATTTCAGTGACACATATGTGTACTGGGATTTTTATATTCTCTGGATAGTTACATATATGTACACTCATAGCATGTGAAAATGTCTTGTGTAAATATTTTAGCAAACCTCTTGTTAATAAACTACAGGCTTTCCTAAGTCAATATTATTGATTTTAGGTCAGTTTACCTCAAAATACTGATTATTTGCGTCAGAACAGTAAAGGGACATTTTAGTTCTCTTCAGAATTCGTTGCTTTTTTCAGAAAAGTAAATAATGCTGATACACAACAGTGTATTAAAACGAAATGTCACATAAACAATTTGTTCACCTGATATCGAATAATGTAACACTGCAAATAACAAATCTTATGAAAAGTGCTCAC